AAAAAAAGAAAAGAAAAAGTGGTCTTTCACGCGCGCTAAAAGCAAATGGCTAAAACAATGGAGAGGAACTCCACTCCATTCCAGTAGAGTGGAATGGAGTGAAAAATACTCTATAGTCTGTGAGAAAAATTAAAGTAAAATGAAAAATGAAAATGGCTCTCTACTTTGCACCTTTTTTTTTGTTTTTTTGTTTTTTTTCTCGTGCACTCGCGCGATCCAGACCGTCTGCTATTCTACGTAAGTGCAAGGTTCAGGGGAGGGGTAGGTGACACCTCCCCCACCTCCCCCCTGATCCTTTGGAAACTTGCTACGCAGGTTAAGGCTGCTATACTAATTATCTACTTAAAGAAAAAAGGGTGATTCTCTCAGTTGTCGAACCACGTCTGCTACGACGGAGTTGCTGCTGTTGCACTCTTCCTGCTGACCCCAAACCTCACTGCATCTTTCCTCCACATGTTCACAGAAATCATCCCAGCTGCCAAGATCCAGCATCCTGGAGCTAAGCTTGTCTGCCAAACTGAAACACTGCTCTAGCATTTCATTCCTGCGTATCTCGTCGCTTCTGGAAGCTTGCGCTGCCACGATGATTTCTCCTGCAATTATCACAAGCATGGTCAGTTTACTCCACGATGATTTCAAGCCACTTCGCACATCAACTTCTTCCTCGAAGATCTCCTGAATGTTCCTTTTCGATTCCACCAGTGTTCTCATTCTTGCAATGTCAAATCTGCATCTTTCGCTTTCGTTTTCCGTCACGACTGTCAACAAATGACGTGCGGTGGTTTTCATCGAAGGAGAAACGTAAGGAAGATCCAGTTCTAGTCTCTTTCTCGAGTAGAAATCCAGGAGAATCGTTAGATCGCGTCTAACTTCAAACGTCGTGAGCAGTTTGGCAAGATCCAATCTCTTGATTGCGCGTAAAGCTTCTTTCAAGAACTTAACATCGGCCCAGGAAATTAAATCTGCATGTTCTAATGAGCGCAAAATTTTTAAAAAGCCTTTATCTTCCCTCGGTATCAGTCCGTCACAGTAGAAACGAAACTCCTTTTGCTCGTCTTTATCCAGATCGCGGGAAATCTGGAGCAACACAGCAGAAAAAGCCCGTCGAAGTTTGTCAGAACCCTCGTTAGTTGGTGACGACATGGCGACGTCGTCAGTGGCGGTAGAGGGAACGAAAACGTTGTTTGCCAGATCCTTTATACCCTAGGTCCACAAAAAAACTCCATAAAAGGCATTGTTATGGTACTTTGCTGAGAGAAACTATGGCAACCCTTTTTTATTCATTTTGTTTTTCTGTTCCTAATATAGATAATTGTAGATAGGTACGCAAGGCGTGCAGGAGATATAATTTACTTTATTTTTGTTTTGTTTGTTTGTTTGTTTGTTTGTTTGTTAACTTGCTTCTTCCGAATTTCGATGGTGTATTGAAACACCATTGCTTATGCAGTCTGTCATGTATCAATCACTCTCCAAAGCGTGTGTCTTGGTGCATAAGGCCCAGGGCCAGGTTGTTCGAAAGGGGGTTGACTTTAGGCTGGGATTGAGAGTGAACCTTGGCGTTAATTCCTCATGCAGAAGAGCGCGTATAAGAGTTATGGTTTTATTGGGTTTTATCTCAATATGAATCAAAACTAAAGGATAAAAGCAAAAGAGGAATCCCATTGTAGAGATATAAAACTAAATAAAAAATTTACACTAAGCCCGCCGAGGTTAATCATGTTTTGAGAAACCAGGCCCAGATCTCCTTCGGATACCAATAACGAAACCAGTGCGATCCGAACCGAAGACGAAGTCGACTTCCGTGTCGCGAGTGAAAGGAAGTGCCCGGATGTTTATTGAATGCTTTACAATGCGCAGTGTCTCCTAATTTATTGGAAACTGTGAGCTTCAGTCATGGCTTTGCTTACAGTGACTTCAAGACTAAAACCAATTGAGAATAGAAAAGGGGTGTTGAAATATCAGCTTCCGCCTGTGTTTAAGGAGTTTGTAGTTGGGTGTGTGAGAGATTTAAGTATTGATGATCGAGCTGCGTTTTGGTTTTGGTGCTTTGGTGATGTTCCGGTGTCGAAGTTGGATGTGAACCTCGAAAGTGATCACGACATTTTCAAGTTGTTTGTGGTTCTTGTTCAGGAGAGTACACTGTCAGCTAAGGATGTATCGTTTTTGGAACGGATTCTATCTACGATAGGTCGAAAGGATTTGCTTCAGAGGCTTAAGCAGGTTGAGTTACGTATGTTTATCGGTAACATAGTCGAAGGTTACGTCAGGTTGCGAGCTTTTGCTCACCAAGATGGCGGTGCATTGGAAAGTGCTAGCTGTTCGGATACGCCTATTGATCTCTTAGTGGAAACTAAAACACGGAATATGGGTTTGATTGAGGAAATTTTGGATCAGTTCAGCGAGGTTGTTGTTGATGGTGACTTTCTGCAGATTTGTAACGAAATTATTCGTTCTCATCTATCTTGGTCTGGCTTTGTGGCTTACTTAGTGATCATTGGTGAATTGTATAGTCTTCATTCTGTTGATGTGGCGGTATCGGAGGGGTATTACGTTTGCGCCCTCAGTGGAACGAAAACAAGTCAGTTGCTAGCCGAATGGATTTCAGAAAATGGTGGAACTGTAAGTGAATCAAACGTTGCTATCACTACTTTCTCTATTGGATATCATGCCGCCATCAGTCATGGGTTTTATCTCAAAATGATCTTCAGCATAACTAACTAAGGCTAAGTTAGAGTTAAAGCTGAATATAGGTGACTATATTTTTCGATGGGGCTGTGTCTTACCAAAAAATTTGTATCATAATAATAAATATGACGGATTATAAACAAACTTTAATTACAACTTCGCATACATTGTTACTTGATGTTTTATGATTACCATCTTCACTTTGACTAAACATAAAGATAGCCCTTGCCGAGTTGGTTATATATTATCGGCTTATTAATCGAGTTCTGACGCTCTACGAGCATCTTGTAGACTGGACTTTCAAATAAAATGGATAGTGTGTATGCATGTCTGTGCAAGACATTTATGTGAATAAGCAGGTTGACTCCAACTGTAAGTGTAAGGGAAAATCTGTTGCTACTTAGAGTAAAGTTATCTGTGAAGGTGTAGTCTGATCGTCCGGGTGAGTGCAGTCCTGAGAAGGACTGTTGTCGGTGGCAGTGACTGACGTTTCGACAACCTGTGCGGAAGTCATCATCAGAGTCAAGTGATCTCACATGTTACCCCCGGGTTCAAACCATTTACTGCAGTAAAGTTATCACAGTATACTATTCGGCTTTCGATCAAATTNGCTGTCGCGCGGCTCTCACGAGGATGACTATAAGGCGTTGCGAGGTGCGGTTACGAATAAATTAGAAATAAGGAGGCTGCTGTCGTGACACAAAGCTGTCGCGCGGCTCTCACGAGGACGACTATAAGGCGTTGCGAGGTGCGGTTACGAATAGATTAGAAATAAGGAGGCTGCTGTCGAGACACAAAGCTGTCGCGCGGCTCTCACGAGTATGACTATAGGACGTTACGAGGTGTGGTTACGAATAGATTAGAAATAAGGAGGCTGCTGCAGAGCTATGTCGAGACATAAAGCTTTTGCGCGGCTCTCATGATGGTGATTATAGTACATTAGGAGGCGTGATTATGAATAGATTGGAAAAAAAAAAACCGACCCCCTCTCTCGACTGCCACCTTGCCGTGGTAGAGGGGCTTGTGAGTTTCTATGATCCTGAGAACTCAGCCGGCGGAGGCATGTGAGCCTCCGGTAGGTACAACCAAGCCGGATAGATCAAAGGGAAGAAACCAGACTAAAAGGCAGTCAACATTTCAAGTCAAAAATTAGCTATTTTCGACGGGACTCTATCCTTTGTTCTCGTTTCTAATCTGTCTTTGTGCTTGTAAATAAAACGGAATGCAGCAAAAAGTGCCGTTAGATATCAATACTCTTTTCAATTAAAAAACTGAAACGAGAAATGTAAACTTTGTAAGAAGACTTTTTTGTAAAAAAGAGTTGAACAGTGTGGACTATGTAAAAATGTAAGATACACGCAAAAATATGTAAAAGATGTATAAAGATAATAAAACGAGGTCTTTCAGAACAGTTTTTTTTATGTGGTCTCTGTTTGACTTCCGCCAATCGAGTAAATCGTCATTATCATTTCACTACTCAGAACTACGAATTAGTATAAATTTTTTTTAAATTTTTCAGGAACCCGGGAACTATCAATGATTCAATCGCAGACAAGTCGCAGGGACTTTTTATTTCAGTTCCGGGTTCATTCGAAGGGTCGCCTATTTCATAAACACGTAGCTCTCGGATGGGTCGAAGGGGCTATGCCACCACCTCACAGCTTCGCGAGCTGAACGAATACAACAAAGCCATTCAGTTTATACCTTCCATTAGCCAAAACCTTACTTTAATGGCTATTTCTGCGCTTATGCGTAATGATGAATGGTGTGAAAGATTCTGATATTGATGAAAGTGAATATGACTTATCGGTAATTGTAAGTGCTCGTATGTTCAGAGAGTTGTATCGCCAGGCGTCTCAGTCTGGTTACGTGTTAACCGAATCATATCAACCATGGCTCTATCAGCAATCACCTCACGCTACAAAAGACATCTGTCTAGTATTATGAACTATCAGTAGCCTCCTTCTTTTAATGTTTTTTATCGAAATAATAGTGCAGCATTTAGTCTCTGATACCGCGTTTTAATTCCTTAATGGAAGTTAGATGGCGACATGGTTACTAATTTTGATATGTTTACTTTAATCAAGTACTTACAGTGTACGGAGGAGCTATCATTTACTGATCTATCGATTCTAGAAGATTTATTCTCTGGTATGAATCATTTTGAATAATTGAAGAAATGTTATAAAGAAGAATTAAGAATCACAATAAGTGTAATCTACATTCGACCGCATAAAATGATTTTGCACTTGTAATTGCATCAATCATTATAATATGAATTATTATATGTGATTATTGCGTTAATCATTATAGTG